CATTTAATGTAACAACTAAATATCATGTTTAAAAGGTCAAGTATTGATAAAATGAAAATAATGAAGAGAATATATATATATATATATGACTTTTAATAATACATACTTGGAGAATATGGTGATAGTTCAGCAAGTTAAGTATTTGCCTTGTACACATGAGGGCCTGAGTTTGATTTCCCAAAATTCACATAAAAATGTTAGGCATAGGGTGCTGGAGAGATGGCTCAGAGGTTAAAAGCATTGCCTGCTCTTCCAAAGGTTCTGAGTTCAATTCCCAGCAACCACATGGTGGCTCACAGCCATCTGTAATGATGTCTGCTGCCCTCTTCTGGCCTTCAGGCATACACACAGAAAGAATATTGTATACATAATATATAAATAAATAAATAAATTTAAAAAAATGTTAGGCATAGCGGTGTCACACACTTGTAAGCACCGAGAGGCGGAGACAGGCAGCAAAATCTGTCACAAGACTGTCAGTCAATTTCTCTACAGAAAACTTGAATACAAGGAGTGAGCGAGACAGTGTATTTAAAGTGCCTGTAGAAAATAAAACCCATGAACCAAGAAGACTATAGTTACAAAAACTATAAGCATCAATGCTTACGTGCTTCCTAAACATACAAAATAGAATTGATCACTAGACATAAGAAGGGCAAAGAGGATTTTTTTTCAAGTTAAAGTGAAAAGAGGCTAAACAGTAAAAGAAAGTTATATAAAAGTATAAAACCTAGTTGGAAGGTGTAAATATACAGAAGATAGAGAATAATGTGATACTGCAATGGTGGTATAAAATATAAACAAATAGGGCCATTTCAGGCTCCCTCTCCTCAGCTGCCCAAGGATCTAGCTGGGGACATCTCCATGGACACCTGGGAACACCTCTAGAGTCAAGTCTCTCGCCAACCCTAAAATGGCTCCCTTAATTAAGATATATACTTCCCTGCTCCCATATCCACCCTGCCTCTATCCCAACTGTCCCATTCCCTCAAGCTCTCCCCATCCTCCCTTTCTCATGGCCCTACCCTATAGCCATACTTATGAATATCTTGCATATCACCATAGAACCTTCATCTGGCGATGGATCGAGATAGAGACAGAGACCCACATTGGAGCACCGGACTGAGCTCCCAAAGTCCCAATGAGGAACAGAAGGAAGGAGAACATGAGCAAGGAAATCAGGACCACAAGGGGTGCACCCACCCACTGAGACAGTAGGGCTGATTTATTGGGAGCTCACCAAGGCCAGCTGGATGAGGGAGCATGTGATCAAACCGGACTCCCTGAACGTGGCTGACAAGGAGGGCTGACTGAGAAGCCAAGGACAATGGCACTGGGTTTTGATCCTACTGCACGTACTGGCTTTGTGGGAGCCTTGCCTGTTTGGATGCACATCTTCCTAGTCCTGGATGGAGGGGGGAGGACCTTGGACTTCCCACAGGGCAGGGAACCCTGACTGCTCTTTGGACTGGAGAGGAAGGGGAAGGGGGATGGGGGGCGGGAGGGAAATGGGAGGAGGGGAGGAGGTGGAAATTTTTAATTAAATAACAAAAATAAATAATAAATAAAATATAAATAATAATTAATATAAATATAATAAAGTCCAAGTGTAATCATCAACATACAAAAGTATTGGCAATAACTGTCACAGGTTGAACAAAAGGTATCTCCTATGAGCTCAAGTGCTGAAGGCTTCTTCTCCGAGGTAGTGTTCAGAAGTGAGACTATGGACAATGCAGGCTGTGAACTGAGCAATGCATTGCTCTCTCATCGGACTCATAATCTGTTGGCTTTACTGTGAAATAATCAAAGCTACAGGGTGGGGGTCTGCTTTGAAGAAACAGTATCCTGGGAGTAAACTCTTAAAAGACATATCTTGCTCAGACATTTTTGGGTTTTTTATTTATTAGATGGGGTGGTGGCAGCTACGCTAGAACGTTTACCTCAAGGTCTCTGCCCCAGGCTGCACCTCTGGGCTGTTGCTCAGACGTATTTTCACACTTTCTCTTTTCTATCATCTTTCCTTCATGCCCTTTTACCATGATGGGTTTTTTTTTCCATTTTGTTTTGTCTTTGTTTTCTTGGTCCTTTGGTTTTTCTTTCCTTTTTTTTAAGATTTATTTATTGTGTATACAATGTTTCTACTGCCTGAGAGCACCAGATCTCATTACAGATGTTTGAGAGCCACCATGTTTTTGCTGGGAATTGAACTCAGGACCTCAGGAAGAGCAGTCAGTGCTCTTAACCTCTGAGCCATCTCTCCAGCCCAGGTCCTTTGGTTTTTCAAGACAGAGTTTTTCTGTGTAGCCCTGGCTGTCCTGAAATGCACTCTGTAGACCAGGCTGGCCTTGAACTCGGATAAAAAACATGCAGCAGCAGTACCAGTTTATATTTCTTCTTGAAATAGGCTTACAAACCAATAAGTGCTGATCTGAAACTGTGAGCCAAAATAAATGTCGCTTTAAATAGACTTTCCGATGTGTGTCATCACAACGAAACCCTACTAACACAATGACCTTAACATCAAAACTAGGTTAGTGAATACACGATATGATAGAGAGGGAATCCAAACATTAATAGAATACAGTTTCTGATGTAGACATAAAGTTGGTTGGATCCACAGTATAGAGTATGATGTGCATAGTTTCATAAAGGATTGAAATACTTACCAGTTACAAATAGGATATAAGGGCACCAGCACAGGCCCAGGCGGGGTGGCAGACCACCAGCGCAGGCGGCAGCAGACCGGTGCAGATGGGGGCAGACAGAGGGGACCGGCGCACAACACCAAGAGCAGATCGCCCCACTACAATTAAAGCAAAGAGGTAGGCCTTTGGTTGGCGAGATCCCTAGCAAGGAAAGAGCCAGGTCCTGTTCCTGAAGACCCTTCTGAGGGGCGAGAGGGAACTTGGCCCCTGGCAGGAGCCAGGAAACAGAGCGAGAGAATTGTGTAAGAGGAGCCCCTGGCCAACAGGGAAACCTGATCCGGTTTTAAAAGACCCATTAGATAGCTTCAATAGGAGGAGATGGGCAGGCGCCAAGGCAAGAATTCACCCAATAATCCAAAAACAACATGAAAACACCAGAACCCAATGATCTTACAACAGATGGATTTGAACACCCTAATACGGAAGAAGTGGAAAAAAATGACTTCATGAAAGCAATAGAGTCCATTAAACAACATGTGAAAAATGCCCTTATAGAAATGGATGAGAAGTATAACAAAAAGTTTGAAGAATTGAGTAAATACGTACATGAGACCCTGGGAAACCAAGAAAAAACGAACAAACAGGTAATGGAAACAGTTCAAGAATTGAAAACTGAAATGGAAGCAAGGAAGAAAGCACAAACTGGGGACCAGCTGGATACGGAAAATCTAGGTCAACGAGCAGAGCCTACAGAAACAAGCATAATCAATAGAATACAAGAAATAGAAGAAAGAATCTCAGATTCTGAAGACACCATAGAGAAAATAAACGCACTGATCAAAGAAAACAGCAAAGCCAACAAATTCTCATCACAAAACATTCAGGAAATATGGGACACAATAAAAAGACCAAACCTGAGAATAATAGGAATAGAAGAAGGGGAAGAATTACAGCTCAAAGGCCCAGAAAATATATTTAACAAAATTATGGAAGAAAACTTTCCCAACATAAAGAAAGATATTCCTTTGAATATTCAAGAAGCATACAGAACACCAAACAGACTGGATCAAAGAAAAACATCCCCTCGCCATATAATAATCAAAACACAAAATATACAGGTTAAAGAAAGAATATTAAGAGCTGCAAAGGAAAAAGGTCAAGTAACTTATAAAGGTAAACTTATCAGACTTACACCTGACTTCTCTATGGAAACCATGAAAGCCAGAAGGTCCTGGATAGATGTACTGCAGAAGCTAAGAGACCGTAGATGCAAACCCAAACTACTATACCCAGCCAAGCTATCGTTCACTGTCAATGGAGAAAGCAAGACATTCCAGGATAAGAACAAATTTAAACAATACGTAGCCACAAATCCAGCCCTACAGAAGGTAATAGAAGGAAAATCGCAACCCAAGGAATCCAACATTGCCAATGGGAGGCGACAGTGGGGAAGAGACAGAAATCTTTAATTAATTAATTAATTAATTAAAAGAACTGGCTAGGAGGCATCAACATAAAGTGCTACCAATTCACATCAAGCAAGAGTTCTAGGGGAGATAAATTAGTTCCAAATGTTTGACAAAATAAAAATACAACCAAAAACTAAAAAAAAAAAATAGGATATAAGAACTATCAAAAGCTTTATGCAAACTTCAGGGCAACCACAAAAAAATGGTAAATAAAGTAAAAATAATGAAAGTGTACCACTATAAAATATCATCAAACTTCATAAACAACTAGAAGAGAACCAAGATAAATAAAAATATAGAAAACAATTAAAATAGCAATAAGAAATGGGGAGATGCTTCCATGATTAAGAGAAAGCTCTTGCTGCCTAGCCTGATGACCTGGGTTCTATCCCCTGAACCCACATTGCAGGAGAGAACCAACTCTAAAGGATTGTCCTCAGAACTCCACGTGTGCCTACATACACACAAACACACACATATACTGAATTTCTTAAAATAAAATAACAGTAATAAGCCAATAGCAAGCAATAGTTTCTTCAAGTGTAAATAGAGTAAACAAACAGTATCCCCACAACCACACCAATTTTAACAGATGAAACTGTTTTTAGACACATTAAAAGTACCTCTAGACACATTAAGGAAGTCAAGAATCTCCCCTACCTCTTTTTTTTTTAATATCTATATTTTTGTATTGGGGGGAGGGAATAGAAAAGAAAGCAGCCCCTAAATTGGGCCCTATTCAGTGGCAGCTTCTTGTTCCATAGAGTTAAGGAAGGCTTTGAGGAAATAAAAGTTGTTTGGAAAAATCCAGGTGTAGTTGCTTTGTATGCTATGATGGGTAGGAGGGATGCAGTGAAGCATGAAGGCCCCGCGCACCCTCCATCTTGCCTCAGACTATGTCCTGGAACCCTGGGGCGGAGAAAGCGCTACTTTCATTCCTGCTTCTTGGGATTGTTGACTGCCACATGGTGATAGAGAGCCACAAGCAAGAAAAGCAGCATGCCCAGCATGTTGGCGAAGATGGCGAGCTGCACGTCCGTGATCATCCTGACCAGCTCCACTTGGCTCCGATGCTGCCCCTCGCTGTACAGCTCGAGGTAGGAGCTCCCCCCTAATTCTTGTTGAACCAGACTAGCTACAGATTGTGGGCCATCTTAAGCTTGGACTGCTCTCTAGTGCCGAAATGATGACAACACAGTAAAAGAGTCAGGGCAAAGCACCTAGGGTAGGTGCTTCCTAAGCCCCAAATAGTAGAAGAAATGACAGCCTTAGGAAAGACAGATGCTTGCTTAGAATTTCTAGAGAAACAGCCACAGAGTCAAATTAGGAAGGCTAGAATAATAGCTGATCTTATGCTATGCAGAAAATACTACATACAAACAAAAATTGTAGGTTTTTTTTTTTAAAGAAGCCATGACCTCATCCATCAGTTAAAATAAGGTGCCAGACACTGGCTAAATAATAATCACAAGTCTCGAAAAAGTTAAAAGAGTTGTTGCAGGAAAACAATGAGGGGGCTCAGCACTGGCTGCTCTTCCAAAGGACCCGGATTCAGTTCCCAGCACCCACATGGCAGCTCACAACTGTCTGTAACTCCAGTTCCAGGGCTTCTGACACCCATGGCAAAACACCAATGCACATGAAATAAAAATAAATACTTTTTTAAAAAATCATAATTTAAAAAGAAGAAAGAAAACAATGAACTAAAGAAGACACAAATAAGGCTGGGGAGGTGGCAAATGTGCTTGCCACATAAGCCCTGTGGCCCGAGTGTGAATGCCTGGAAACCCATAAAGGCGGAAGGAGAGAGCCCGCTCCACGACGCTGTCTTCAGACCTCTACCAGTGGGACATGAACTCTCACATGAACATCATACAGCACAGTGAGTCTTTTAAACTAAAATGTTAAAAAAAATTGTAATTAAAGAAAAAGTTCAGCATTCTAAAGAAAACAATAAAGGCACCGAAGCACTTTAAAAAGCAAGAGTCCTTGAACTGAAAAATACACGATGTGACTATATAGAGGTGGTAAGCGCATGTCAAAACATGAGCCTGTCACCTTCTAGGCCACCTCCATCACCTTTGGACCCCCGAGTTCTTCCCCAGTGCTCCTTTCAGCCATTCCTTGTAGCCCATCTCCATTGCTTTCTAACTCCCCGGCAACCTGCAGAACCACTATCTATCAGGGACTTACAGCCAACACACTTGGCTGGGACTTTATCCCCTGCCCCCCCGACCATTCTGGTCTCCACAGACTTACTCTTAGACCTGCTCCTGCTGCCCACCTATCTGAATCCCTCCCCCGAGCCTGCCTCCATCTCCTTGGGGGCTCTGCCTCTTGGTGAAGATCCAAGATCCCCTTTAATTCTTCCCTGCTGCCCTTTCAGCCTTTCCTTATAGCCCATCTGGATTCCTCTGAGACTCCCACAGACAAATAGAATAGCTCCCTACCAGGGACCCCACAGGCACCACACTTGATTGAGACTCAGGGACCCCACAGCTGCCACACTTGGCTAGAGCCCAGAATGGACAAGGACAAGCAAAGAGTGGAACACCCACCTAACAAAAGTGAGACCAGATTATCTACACCAAGAAACACTTCAAACGTAGCTCCAAATGCCTAGATCCCAGTACAAAACTTCAACAAGAAGAGCCAAGACAATACACCTCCTCCAGAGGCCAGAACCCCTATTGCAACATGCCCTGGGAAAGGCAATGGAGCTGAAGCACAAGACAAGGACTTCAACATCGTAATTATGAATACGTTCAAGGACCTTAAAGGGGATTTGAATAAATGCCTTAATGAAGACCGTGAAAGCACAATAGTTAAGGGAAATAATGAAAACAACCCAAGACATGAAAGTAGAATTTAACAAAGAAATAGAATCACTGAAGAGAACTCTAACTGGAAATGAAAACTTAGGGTGTCAAAATAATCCTCAGAGTTAAGCTTGATAACGACTGACTTCCTTCTTACATCTGCTTACTTGCACTGCATCTGAGTTCATTCGGGAGTTTGGATCCCCCTCGATTTTGCTGAACGCTCTCAGGAGTGTTCTTTTCAAATTGTTGTCTTTTCAGTTCATCTGTGTGCTCACATGTGGCAATGATATACTTCGCTAACTCTGAATTACATCCCATTGAATGCATGACCACAGAGGGGTTTTTTTCCGTTAAAGAGGAAAAAGGACGTTTATTAAACGGTGTAATAAAATCTCGGTGTTACTTTCTTTAAAATAAATAAAAACTAACATACTTACAAAGGTACTTCTGACATTATAGCTAGGTTCTTGTGTCAATTTCGCCTCTGCTGAACATATTTGCTGCTCAGACAGATTCGAGTTCCAAACATGAGGCTCATGCCAAAGGCTGCTCAAACCTCACGGCTTTTATCCATCCAACTGCCATTGGGCGTTTAGGAAATTTTTTTATACGGTTTCTCTATCTTAGCTATCAGGAATAATGCTGCGACAAAGTATACCACTTTAAGATAGTGATTTCAATTCTTGGGGGTATCTTCCCACAAGAGCGATTTTGTGTGAGAAGCCATCACCCTCTGTTCAAAAGTGACTGTGTCATATCTCGCATTGCTACTTCCAGTTGTGTGACATCTTCCCCAACACTTGCTGTCTTCTTTTTTTTATTTTCAGAACTTTCCTCCTAATGAATGTGGAATGATATTTCATTGTGGTTTTAATTTGCATTTTTCCATGCTGATTAGTCATAATGATTAACTGCTAATCTATCTGGTAGATTTACATTAGTTTTCTTCGGAAAAGAAAATCCTATTTGAGTCCTTTCTTATTTTCAAATCAGTTTATTTGTCGAATTCTTGTATTAAGTTGTAAGAATTCGTTAAGTATTTTGTTTGTTAATCCTGGATAATATATTGTTTGAAAGGATTTTCCAGAAAACACGGGTGGAAAGTTTGGTTGGGAGGTATGAAGGTCCTTGCACCCACAGATCTCCAAGGAAACCAGGAATGTTAATCACACAGAAGTTTCTCCGCAAAGGAGGAAATTAATACCTGTTCTTCCATAGAAAAGACTGGGAATTGGAGGTGATTAACAGCTGGGTGATCTTTGCTACCACCCATTGAGCCAGACCATATCAAGCCTCCACAACCAGGACTGGAGATGGCTAGTAATTTATATGACCTTCACATTATCTGGATAGCCAGGGGCTCCCCCAAGCTACCACAATCAAGACTGGATATGGAGAATAGCCCAAATGATCTCTACACTATCCGTATGGCTGAGATCACGCCAAATCCTTCCCTAGGCCCTTAAGCTATTAAAGGTAGCCTATCTCTAGAACCCATCTTGGAAGAAATGACGTGTATTTTGAGTTGAGATTGTATTACACCAGGAAACATTTTCTAAACATACTGGTATCAGACTTTTAAAGTTTGGTCCAGCCCAAGTCAGGCTGAACTGAGTTTTCATTCTCACTTCTTCGTAGACTTTTTCCCTACCTGCCATGACACCTGCAGGGATGCCCTCAAAGTTTTATGACTTTGAGCTTTGCAATGAATTCCTAGATATGAGCGAAAAACATAAGTAAGACAATTAAAATTAGACAAGTAGAACAGACTACAAAGCTCCTCCAGTGTAGCTAAGTATTAAAGTACTTGCTGACCCATTGTGCAGCCCTAAATTTCATAAGAAACACGACAAGAGAAGAGAATTCCTGAAAACCAAATTAAATAATTTAAAAAAGTCCTACTGGGGAAGTGTACAACTCATCGAACATACCAAAGATCATTGTATTCCAACTATTTTCCTTTTTTATTCTTCTTTCATATAATAAATACACCCCAACCAAGTTTCCTCTCCTTCCACTCCTCCATCGAATCAAAGACCCAGATATTAATCCACAAACCTATGAACACCTGATTTTCGACAAAGGAGCTAAAATTATACAATAGACGAAAGAAAGCATCTTTAACAAATGGTGTTGGCATAACTGGACGTCAACCTGTTGAAGAATGAAAATAGATCCATATCTATCACCATGCACAAAACTCAAGTCCAAATGGATCAAAGACCTCAATATTAATCTGACCACAATGAATCTGTGCAGGGAGCCAGTACGTGCAGCCACCATTACAAGATGACGCCTGGCTCCTGCAGGGCTGGAGTAAACAACTCCATAAAAGGTCATAGCCAGTACCACCATCTCAGGCATGCTCAGTGTCCTCAGTGTACCAGACCTATCAGGGAGCTTGGAATGGCTGCTGAGACACTTTGACCAATAGGAGGCCTGCACGTACCCCTAGTCCCTATATAGGCAGTTGCAGCTCAGAGCTGGGGGGGAGACCCTGGAGGGGGGACCCTGGAGGGGGGACCCTCACCTCCTGCTCTCCCTTCAACCAAGAGGCTCCAATAAAGCGTGATTTGGGAAGAATCCTCGTCTGGTGGCTAGTCTTTCCTGCTGGTCAGGGAGTTCGCCGCAAATCTGGAGTACATGTTTTTAAAGTATGACCCAATTATTCTTTGGATTTTCTCAGTGTCAGTTATCTGTTGTTAAGTCCCCCCTTTGGTTTCTGATTTTGTTAATTTTGGTATTCTCTCTCTATCTTTTAGTTAATTTGGATAAGGGTTTGTTTATATTGTTGATTTTCTCAAAGAACTAACTTGTTTCATTCTTTGTATTGGTCTCCTTGTTTTTAATTTTATTGATTTCAGCCCTCACTTTGATTACTCTCTGCTACCTATTCAACATAGGTGTACTTCTTTTTCTTCGAGAGTTTGCATGTCTACTGTTAAGTTGCTAGTATGAGATCTCTCCAATTTCTTTAAAGGCAATTAATGCTATGAACTTTCCTCTTAGCACCATTTTCATTGGGTCTCATAAGTTTGGGTATGTTGTGTATTCGTTTTCACCGAGTTCTAGAAAGTCTTTTCATTTCTTTCTGTCTTGACCCAATAATCATTCAGTATAGAACTGTTCAGTTTCCATGAGTTTGTCAGTTTTCTGGTATTGACATCCACCTTTAATTCTTTGCAGTCTAATAGGACGCAGGTGGCTATTTCAATTGTCCTGTA